TCGTGTTAAGTGACATAAGTCAGACACACAAGCTTCACTATCACGTAGTGTCTCTTGCATGAGAAATCCAAAGTACAAATAAAGAGCAAAAGAAGAAACAGTTGATGAAGGGAGATAGAGCTTCTGCAAAAGGGAAGGGGGGACCAAGAGATGGAGGAGAGGAGAGAGGGATGAAAACCAGAATGAGGATGCCTTGTGCATGGACACCAACTCCCCACGAGGAATGTCATCTTTACGCACTGCAAACATGGATGAAAGAAAGAATAACGGAAAAGAATTGGAATAAAAATTAAAGGTAGTAAAGATCTTATAGCAGTTCTTATAGCTTGCACACACAGACTGAAAATGTGTTTACTGCTTTCTGTATTAGTCTATAAAGCTCACTTTGCCAGTGGATGTGAACAATTGAAGTGTTCTCTTTTTCACTATCAAAGCTTCCCTCATGTAAGCCTACCATACTTCAGCATTTATACGACAGTTGGGAGCTTAAAATTGCAGCCTTCTTTTATACACAAAACGTACTATAGTAAAAGAGAATTTATATTGCACAATGTTAAGGGATAACTAAATTACAAAATAAAACTTACCTTCAAAGGCATTTTGAAATATACTTTAAAATATCAAACTTCTTCAAAGCATTTAATTATATTACTTAGCAAAATGGCTTCCCATTTATTTACCTTGGAGAACTCAAAACTCAATGTTTAAGAGTGCTTTCTACTTAAGCACAAATCAAAACTTACTGTAAAATATAGCTGAAATTATTGTATGAGGGTGAATTAATCATTTGAAAAAATAATTTGACAACATCTTTTCCTCAGGAATGTGTATTTTTGCATAAATTCTCCTTATGAAAAGCAAAGCGGAGACATCTGAAATGCATTTTCATTTTGTCTATGCAGAGGCCAGGACCAATTCAGAAAGGAAACACAGTGCCTGGGATTGGCTTGGGAGCAGAATGCATTGAGGTTAGGGTAGCAAACCGCCTCAGGCCTCTTCGGAGGCAGCAAAACAAACCAAAGCTGTCTCCAGGGTTGTAAATTCAGGAGTGGCATGTTGGAAGGGAACGTGGAGAAAGAAAACTGGGGTAAATGTTTTTTTAATGTTTGCCTTTGGGCAGGATGTTTTCCCTTATTAGTTTACTGCTCCTAGTAAATGTGAAATACTTTCTCTTTTTGCTTTACAACTACTGTTATTTTGGTCTGGATTTCTAATGTGAAAAACAAAACAATACGACCGGGCAGTGTATCAGAGAAAATGAGCCCATAGTGATGGATGTAATGGATCCATAGTGATGGATCCATGGGTGTTTGGAGCCAGCAGGGGTAGGTGACACCACCACACCCATTGTTCCCACCTTCTTCTTCGGTGGGGCCCTGTGTGAAATCCCAACATCGCTTCAGGTTGCACACAGAAGTAAAGCTTAAGCTCCTGGCAGGCATCACAGTACGATACTCACTTTCAAAACTTGAGTGCTGGTGGTGACAGAAGGAAGTACATATAACTGAACTTTACCCAAGTGGCTGTAAGGAGAGAGGTTCCCAGAGAGCAGAAGACGCTCTCTGAAAATCCAGGAAGAAGAGCAGCCTGGGCAGTTGGGGTCATCACGCCTCTTGAGTAAAGATGTAGCGAACTAATAACAATTCCTTAATTCGACCAAGGCTAAGAAACAGCTGATAAATAGGGTCAGTACTGTGTCACTGGTTGGACAGGAAGAGACAAATGGCAATTGTACCTGGTAGGAATTTATTTCCCATTGCATTGTTGTGCCAGTTTCTGGGGAGGTTTATCCCTGTTGGGTCACAGGTCTTGAGCTTTGACTTTTCTCCTTTCCAAACACATGTTGTCCTATTACTGCTAAAGAATGCATGGTGCCAGAAAAGTGAAGAAACTCCTTGAGTGTTAGCCTCAGGACCACTGAATTTATCGAGAAAGGAAGATGAATAAACATAGCAGCCGTGGTGGGATGACCAAAAAGTGCTCAGGGTTGACTTGGCAAGTTTGGGCACATCTCTGCACGGCGCCTCCTTGACAAGGCTGGTGTGGGCGGAGCGGTTGCTGCATTCCCTGGGAAATGGGCCAGTTGAAGAATGACCTTTCAGGAAGGAGAAAGTTTAATATATTGATGTATAAGCAACTTCATCCTCCTGCCGTTCCCTTCCTAATTTATAGCCTTCTGTGACTGGTTTATAGGAGTCTTCAAAAAATGTGATTAGCTTTACTTGCAAGAAACTTGCTGGAGTTCTGGGGTAATGATGTGTCAGCTCTAAACTCATTCAGTTAATCTGAAGGAAAGTGTGCAGAGCAAGAAAGAGCTGGATTCAGAGGTGCTGACTTGTGAAACATGGTAGTAAGTGCCTCTCTAGCTAGAAGATCTTAAATTCTAGTTTCCCAATTATGCAAAGGAGTGGAAGTCATCATGGGGAACGTGTAAAAGACTGAACATCAACACCAAGAGCAACAAAAAACATGTACTCGTCTGTGCCTTCCATGCCCACGATTGTGCCTTCTCATCAAAATTAGGAAACTAATCAATATGTTTTCTGAGTTAGAAGGGAAATGGTTGGAAGCTTGAATCTCAGGACTGGAGGGACCCAGGCAGGGGCAGCTGGGTTGGATTAGTAGCCATATGAGGTCATCACATCGTGGGGAAGAGCAGCAGGCTGGGCCTGAACAGCTCCATACTGGTTGCATCGTGAGGCAGGCCGGTGAGCAGAGTCTCAGTGAAATCATTTCATGTCATTCACATGCACAGAGCTTCTATTAAATGCAGGGCATGCTAGGGAGCACATATTTACTGCACGTACTTGGATGGTCTCCTCACTGAGCATGCATTGCAGTGTTCTAATTATTAGGGGTGCAAAACAAATGACCTCAGATCTTTGTGATGTGATAAAATTACTGTATTCTCACTGATGACGTGAGTCTGGAAGTAACTTAGTACAACAAAGGAGCTTTGTCAGTGTGTCAGGCTGTCTGGGTCCCCAGCTGGAAGAGTCAAAGGCTGGTGGCTGGGATCATCTGTGGCTTGTGGGCTCTTCTGTTCAGTGAGTGGTAGTGTCTGTCTGCAGAGACTTCGGTTCGAGATTGGCCAAACTTGCACACATCATCTCTTCGTGTGGCCTGGACTTTCACATGGTATGGTGACTGGGTCTCAAGGGTGAGGGCTAGAGTGTGCACCGTGCAGGAGTGCACCTTTTTGATGACCTAGCCTCAGAAGTCATATGGCATCAGTTCCTCTGTGTCCCACTGGTCAGAGTGTCACATACGCTACCCAAATGCAGGAAGTAGAAATGTCAACCCCAAATATCAATGTTAGCCTCAAAGAATGAGAAGCAGACTTTTTTTTTGAATTATATACATCTTCCCACATGTATAACTTGTATATATATATATGATATATGCATGTATACATGTATGTGTCTGCATAATATAAAAATATTGTATAGGTATAAAGGTATCTATACCTAAGATATACAAATATATTTATATCTCACATACAGTACATGTATATGACTAGAGTACATAACATTTATGTATATACATACGCGTATGTATGTACATATGCACATTTATAAAGTCATATTTGGAAAATAGAACCTGCCACATTGAATAAGAATGAAAGAAAAATTTATCACAGGGTAAACTAGAAATGAATGAGCATTGTTTTGACTGCTGTATAAATGATGACCTTTGAAAATATATTAATAAAATACTTACCCAAGCCCTGTGCTTTACAAACTTGAGTCACTGGGAAGTCATTTCTTCCAAGACTCTTTCTTTCAAGACTTTTATGGTATTATTATGTCGCCTTCTGGGCCATTGTTTCCTTAATCATTCTTCTTTAAATAGGGCCACTGAGTTTTCACTCAGAAATTACTATGGAAAACTTACTTTATTCCATAACTTATTTTCCATAAAATAAAAGTAACTTTATAATGAAAGTACACAGAACCACTGGATGCTGGGCTTGCTGCTTTCTGTGGAAGGCTGTCATGGATGCGGTCATGCTCCTCCCAGCTTCAAGCTTTCAGTTTGCCTTAACTGGAAAGAGAAGTGAAAGGAAGTTACACTTAGGGAGAAGGATGATGCTGTTCAAGCCCGGTCTGAGCACCGCCGACAATCCTTTAAAGAACTACCAAACTCAGCCCTAAGATTTGGCAAATGCTCACCCAGGATGTTGCACATTATTGATATTACAGTGTTCATCCAGCCTTAACCAAAGTATTGGGATCCGTGACGCAGACCAGCGTGGAGCACAGAGCCAGTGCTTATTAGTAAAGGTAATAGCAGTCACCACGTCAGTGGCTAGGCCCTTTTAACCCATGTGTGTTTTTACTTTTTGGTTTTTAGTCCCTCCTGCCCCACATCCAGTGAATGATCCAGGGTGCAGTGAAGAGCCTTATGTAGCTGGCTTCTCTGTAGTAAAGCCAGCTACTCCCATGTCTTGTTGCTGTGGCCCCATGCTGCTGGAATGACTTTCTGCTCGCCCAGTTTGCCTAACTCATGTCCCAGGTTTTGCAGTGCCACCCTAAATCCAGAGTCCCCAGGCACACTTGTACTTTGTAGTGTGCAAATTTCTAGATCCTATAGCCTTTAGCCCCCCCCTCACCCCCCGCAATGATTTGCACTTGCTGGGGAAAGCATTGCCTGAGGCTCTAGAGATGTCTGAAACAGAGATGAACACCTTAAAATACGAGAAAGGCACTTGGGAATTGCTATTTTACTCCTTAAAACTTAATTTCTTACTTAACAGCCCTATTGTTTTATTGCTAGAATATTTAGTAGGAAACACTCTGTCCTGCTTTTTGCCTTCCTGGACCTTATTTTTGTGCTTTCTAGCAAAATCAGGTTTGCAGAAGTTCGGAGGAGGGCGAGAGCTGGATCTGTGGCTCTGGGGAAGCAGAGGCAGACTGTCCCACGCTCCAGGACTCGATGCAGGAGTGCCTCTGCTAGCGTGGGGTTAGCACTAATGGCTTCTCTTCCTTCTCTGTTTACAGTCAGCTACAGTGAAGCTGTCTAAACCCGTGGCTCTGTGGACCCAGCAGGATGTCTGCAAGTGGTTGAAGAAGCACTGCCCAAATCAGTATCAGATCTACAGTGAGTCATTCCGGCAGCACGACATAACTGGTAAAGTTTCTCTTCCCCTTCTCCCCTCCCGTCACGATGGCCTTTCCCAGACCCTTCCAGGGAAGTGGCCTCTTCCTGACAAAATTGTCTGCTGTTTATTCTACAAAGGGCAATAAATTCCATCCACTTGATACTTAACAGACACAAGTGGCTGCGAGAGGAAGCTGGGTTTTGAGTGTCTGATGTAAATGCGTGTTCAGGGCAAGGGGTTGGCGGGTCTTGGAGAAAATGAGCATTCCAATCCTGGATAAAAGGAGTCTTAGATTAGTCGGATTTCAGTATCATTCTGGGATCTTCCAAGCGGGCAAGTTGTTTATCTAGGACAGTTTTGTTGGGTTCCCTCAGCTAACATGTATTGACTTTTCTGACTGGTAAGCTATTCGTGTATCCGTAGAAGAAGCCATGTTGGGAAGTCAGTTGTCCTGCTTCCCTGTCCTGTGGCCATCTGGTTCCTTGAGGACACCTCTTGTGACCACATCCAGAAATGTTCTAAGTTTCTGAAGTAAATAGAATCTTGGGGAACTTGCTGTCCCCAAGATGAATTCCTTTAAGGTGCCAACTAAAACTTCATTAGCTTCAGAGAATTTCACTATTGTACACAGAGATCAAGAAGCTGTTGGAAGCATAAATGGGACACTGTATGGACGGCAGAGACCTCAGGGTCAAGTCCCTCAGCAGGGGCCTGTGTGGTGAAATAGCAAATACACCCTCTTACTGCACGCAGCAGTAGCAGGTCGGAGGAAGAGGGTCTTTTCCTGATCCTGCCTGCCTTCCCTGCTGGGATCCCACCTGCAGGTGGGCAGGACTCCTCCCTCCTTCACAAACACTGCCCTCGAGGAGAATGGATGCTGCCCTGGAAGAGTGACTTTCCCTGAAGTCACTGAGGGTGCTAGACTCCAGGCCTCTTTCCACTCCACCTTCTGTTTTTGAAAAATCCCAACCTCTTTGTAGTTTTTCATTTTGCCTTGAAAAGGGATGCATAAAACAAAGTACACCCAATATTTCTTTTTGCAACTCACTCTGACTTGAAGCCATGAGATCAGCCGCTGAACCATTTACCTCCTTAGAGCAGAAATTGGTTGGTGGTTTTCAAAGTGTGTTTCCTGGAGCCCTCGGCTACCAAAGAGGACACATGGTAATGCTGTGGGTTGAGGGGTACTTGACACCCACCCAGTTCCCTTTTTGTCTGTTTCCATATTCCATTCATCCAGGAAACTGACTTGTAGAGAGGGTTCTAGCGGTAAATGTTTGAAAAATACTGTTAGGTTAGATGTTTGCTGATCAAGATGGTAAAGCCTAAATATGCAAAGTACATACCCAGCTGCAACAGCTCAAGCTGTTAATAGGAGAGGGAAATTCTCCCAACCTAGATACAGATATCTTTTATGACACTATTTCTCTCCCCACAATAAAGCCAATGATCTTTTGGGGTGAAATTCCAGAAATCATGAAGGTAGTGAGGGCACTTAGCTTAGATTGCAAATGTCCAGATTTCATATTTTAGTTCTTTCATTAGGATATAGGAAAATCTCATGTAGGATCAGTGGTTGCGCCCCCAAAACTGACTATAGGCTCCTTCATCAGGTAAGAGCCACTCAGTGCATCTTAAGGCCTGTGTGATAGAGACGCGTCTTCTCATGATATCTGAAAGCAGTGCTATCCTGTGTTAGGGATGTGAATTATGAGATACTGCAGAGGGAAAGGCAAGCTTCGTAATGACTTGTAGAGGATGAGCAGGATGCCCCTGCAAAGTATGCTCTACATACCTATGCTCCAGGCTTATGGAATAGAGGGTAGCACTTCCAAAGGAAGTGACAGAAGATAAGGGGGATGGGGAGGAGGCATACATTGCAAAAAGTTGTCACATTGCTTTTGGTGGCACAGCTGGTCTCCATGGAACACATCTCGTATTGGTAACTTGCAACTTTCTTAGGATCTGGGTGACTTACTCAGCCTCCATTCCTCCACTGTAAAATGGGGTGATAATAGTAACTGTCTCAGAGGATTGTCATGAAGATAAATGAAATCATATAGAACACCTTTTATCTGCAGCACTGAGCTGCTGTTATGTCAGATCTCATCTGGGGGTATGAAAATTATATTCTCATTTCATTCTAAGTGAAGCCTTCCTGTTCTCCAGGAAGCAAAGAAGGCAAGGAATTTGCTGTCTCTTTAATCTCCTTTTGGAGACCTCAGAAGACCACCTCTTCTGTTTGCTGGCCCCAGGCTTTGTCAGGATGAACACAAAGTACCCAAATGACCCCAAGGGCCAGTGGCAAGGAGAGCTTCCAGGATTGAAGCCAGCTTTAGTCACCATCCCATGGTGCTGGGAGCTCAGAACCCCAGTACCTTTGGAGGCTAGGGTGATAACAGGTGAAGAAGTTTGCAGAAAACCAAGAAGTGATACAGGATAAGCCTCAGGAGGCTATGCAAACATCAGAATGATGTAGCACATTGGTAGCGGCTATACGGATCAGCTCGATGCCCAGAACTGCAACAACATGCCTGGTGATTTTGTGAAGGTTCGCATGCACTTTAATTTTCTTCAGGGACAGAAAAGAGATGATTATAATACTTTAGTGGTAAAGGAACTGGTGTCACAGTAAGTATATGATGAGTGTGAATTTGTGCTGTTTTCCTAAGTGTTATCCTGATTTCTGTGAAAAGAAAACAACACATATAAACAGTTTTGAATTCATGCAGCTCTTTTATCCTGAACGTGACAAAGGAGGTCTAAGAGGGAAACAAAGGAGTCCAGGCGAGTAAACACCCTGGACCAATCTGCAAGGCTGCACACAAGATTGTTCTTGGACATTGCTGGTTTCTGATTTGACTCTCCCGAGTGCTGCTGTTGATTTATTTTTCTTAAAGCTCCAAAAGTGTGCTCATTGAGGGAGCATGTTAAGTCAGCATCCCTTGAGTAAAGACAGATGATCCAGTGATGATAAATAAAAAGGACATCTATTGAGTGAAAAGAAAAAATGAGATGGGTTTTCTGACCCTAGGTCTGAGTCAGATTTTGTCTGCTGTCTTTTACTACAGCCTTGAAGACACAGGGGCTGTGTAATGGCATGCAGGTTAGTTTCTTGTCAATAGAATCAGGTTTTTCTTTAAGGGTTGTTTAAATGCTGGAATGGGGGGATACACACCTAGCTTAATGATTAATTCTGTAAAAACTTATGGAGCACCTACTATGTGCCAGATTTTCATATTAAATAAGTAAGATACTCAATGACCCATCTAGGGGAAAAAAAAACTGTGCTTGGTTGGGAAGCTGTGCATGATCACCTATTACCACACCATTTTGTGGCATCTCATTCTGAGTCCAGGAAGCAATTTGATAGCTCTGCAAATTGCATATAACTGATAGCAATACAGTAACCTCTCACTGTCTGTGGTTTTAGTCAACTGTATCTGAAAATATTAAATGGAAAATTCCATTTTTTGAGAAAAAGATAGCACATTCACATAACTTTTATTTGAGTCTCTGGTTATAGTTGTTCAATTTTATCAGTTCTTATTGTTAATCTTCTAGAGTGTCTAATTTATATGTTAAACTTTGTCAGTATTACAGAAAAAAAACATGGTACAGATAGGGCTCAGTACTTTCTATGGTCTCCAAGATCTCCCCTCTGGGAGAGTTTGCTCTGCAGAAAACAGGGTAGTGTCATATAACCAACTTCTTGTCTACTGCTGTTGAAAAGGTAAATTTCCCCTCATTCACAGCTTGATTTTAGTCTTTCTGGCTTTTAATTGTATCTGTAGTTTGGATTCTCATTTGAGCTGCTTTTCTCATTAACGATTTAAACGAAAATCTTAAATACATGTTCATTCTTGTGTTTGTAAGATTTTACCCTCGTTTGAAATCACCCTTTAACCCTAATAGTTAGAAACATTTTTATTTGCACAAATACTTCCACTGTATTAATATTTTTCTCATGCTTTTGTTTGAAGGATTTTCAATTCTAAACAAGTAGCCCCCTCCGGTTGCCTTAAAACCTAAGAAAATGTTGGGTACGTTTTAGCACACCAGTATTCTAAGCCTTTTGTAAATTTCCTATTAAAGTTTCTGATAATTTCAGTGTGTTCAGAAGCCACCTGCTATCTCATGGCAAATGCGTTTAATCAGAAGAGAAATTACTTGTGTTAGCTCCCTGCAGAAGTGTTCTTTAAAAGGAGTAAAACGCTTGGAACACCGGAGAGGCATTAGGATATACAGATTTCAATCATCAGATTAGGCTTGAAGGAAAAAAAGTTGTGTGCTTTCCTGTGCTTGAAGGATTCTTTCCCTGGCTTTCTGAGTCCTGGTGTGGCATGCGGATGAGGATGCTCTGCAGGGACCACGTGTGAACTCACAGGCAACTTCCAGATTCTCTTTCCTGCGCAGTTAAGAATCTTTTCAGGTTGGAGGAGATTTCAGCCCCTGGAGGAAGTGGTATTCTGCCTATGGTGACTGCTAAGTCGCTTCAACTCCTTTGGCTTCAAATCCTCTTCTGTGAAAGGCTCTTTCCCTGCCAACTTTAAAGACTTATTTTCATGGATGAGGCATGCACAATTTCCAAGAGGAGAAAATATTTTTTTAAAGATACCTTGAATTATAAAGGATACCCTTTCACTGTCTGCAGAAATAAACAGTTACCATTTAAGTAACCCCTACAAAGGGATGGTATTGATCTGTTATATTTCTAAATGGTCTCCAACAGAACAGATGAACACCTCTCGGCCTTTTTTTTTTTTTTTCTTCTGTTTCAGCCATTACCTGTGTGCATCTCTTTCCCCTTTTAACAGTATTCCACTGAGACATAGCACTGTGAAAGTTGGTACTTCTGCTTAGGCTGTGGAATAAAAGGAAACCACTTTGTCATTTTCAAGCCTTCAGAATGTAGCTGTATGCCTTTGCAAACATTAATTCTATTCAATGCTAGTTTTTCTGAGCTTTTTTTGCCCCTTTATCTCTCAGCCATTGTCTTCGGAGTCTTTTATTATGGTTACAGTTTCCT